GAGCCGTCGGCGCTAGCCGCGGGTGGTACGACCACACGCGCGCCAATGGCTACCCGCGGCTAGCGCCGACGGCTCACGGGTTGTCGCTCACGGGGCCGCCGGAGCTTCGGAATCGGGCGGTGGCGACAGCGTGATCAGCAACCGGTCGATGCGCGGCCCGTCCATATCGACGATCTCGATCGTCACATCCCCGCAGACGGCTTGATCGCCGACACTCGGCACGGATTCCAGGACCGCCATCACCAAGCCGCTAACGGTGTTGACGCTGCTGACCTCGGCCCCGAGAGAGGTCTTCTCGGGCAGTTGCTCAAGCAACTCGTGCATGCCGATACGACCATCGACCAGCCAACTGTGGTCGTTGCGCTGGACGACAAGTTGCTCGTCGTCGTGCCGATGCTCGTCGTGGATCTCACCGACCAGCTCTTCGAGCACATCCTCAAACGTCACCATCCCGCGCGTGCCGCCGAACTCGTCGAGCACGATGGCCAACTGGGTGCGTTCTGCTTGAAACGCTACGAGCAACCGCTCTAGCGTCAAACTCTCCGGGATGAAGAGCGGCTTGCGGAGGATCTTGCGGATCTCAATGCTGCGTTTGAGGTGCATCTGCTGGAGCACGTCCTTGTTGTAGACGAAGCCCAGGATGTTGTCCGTGCTACCCTCGTACACCGGCAGCCGCGAAAATCCCGACATCGCGACCACGCCGATGATTTCATCGACGGGCGTCTCGACATCCACCGCGTCGATATCGACGCGCGGCCGCATGATGTCGCGGACCCGCCGTGTGCGGAGCTGCAAAGCTTCAAGCAGGATGTCTTCCTCGGCCAGCCGGAGGACCCCCTGCTCGCGACCGGTCTCGACGAGGTGGGCGATGTCGTCAAGCGTGACGAGCGCCTCGCCGCCGTCCTTGACGCGGAACACCCGCAGCACCGCGTTGGTGACGAATCCCAGCACCGCGATGAAGGGCGTCGCCACGTAGCTCAACAGCAGCATCGGCAACGAGACGAACTTTGCCAGCGTCTCGGAATAGGCGAGCGCGAGCCGCTTCGGCACAAGTTCGCCGATCACCAGCGACCCGAACGCGATCGAACCGGTGATCGTCGCCAGCGCGATCACTTGGCTATAGCGGGCGGCAAACGTGCCGGGGGTCAGCGAGAGCCAGTCGGAGAACTCCCGCACCAGATTGGCGCCGCCATAGGCCGCTGCGAGAGTGCCGACGCCGGTAATTCCGATCTGCACCGCCGAGAGAAACCGGTTGGTGTCCCCCAAGAGCGACAGCGCCGCCTTGGCCCCTGTGCTCCCCTCCTCCGACGCCTGCTCCAGCCGATTCCGCTTCGCTGTGAGGATCGCCAGCTCCGCGCCTGAGAAGAACCCGTTAAGCAGGATCAGGCAAAAGATGATGAGGATCTCGACGTAAGCTTCCACGGAGAGGCCCTGAAGGGGGGGCGGCGACTGGCGGCGTGACGGGGGCTGCCTGACGACTCAAAAGACTATCAGACCCCGCCCCCGCTGCCTAATCTCGGGTTGCCTCCGCTTCCGTGGCCATCAGCACAAGGTCGATCGTCGCCGCGTCGGTCTTGGGCAATCGAACAAACAGATCATCCCCCGCGCCGATGCGGCTCGGAACCTCGACCCCCGTACTGAGAACCTTCAGCAGCCGTGCGGCCAGCTTGCCGGCGCCGGAGAGGTGCGTCCAGCCGTCCGCGTCGGCCTCTGGTTTCTTCAGGATGTGGACGTAGACGACCCCCGGCTTCTTTGTGGTGACCCCCCACTCCTGCGCCGCGACGGGGCCGCCGCGCGTGCCGTAGATCGTCTCGCCGTACTGCTCGAGCCACTCGCCCATGCCGCGAAGCCGCTCGGCCGAAACGTCGTCGATCGTGCCGTCGGGCTTGGGGCCGACGTTCAGCAGCAGGTTGGCGTTCATCCCCGCCGATCGCACGAGGTAAGTAACGAGTTGTTCGACGCTCTTGTGGCCCTTGTCGCCGGCGTTGTAGCCCCAGGCGCCGTTAATCGTGTCACAGGTCTCCAGCGGCAAGTCCCCGATCACCGCGTCGGAGCTATGGCCGCCCTTGTTCTGACCGGGCAGGTCACGCTCGAACATCTGGAAATCCTCGCCCGCAAACGGCGCGATGTGGTGGTTGTTACCCACCAAAGCGGCCGGCTGCAAGCGATGGATCAGGGCGTACGTCTGCTCTAGCCGCCAATTGATGCGAGTGTCGCGAACGGATGCGTCGCGGGTGTCCTCGAAGCGTTTCGATTGCTGGTCCCACCAGCCGTCGAACCAAACGCCCGCCACGTCGCCGTAATCGCCGCCCAAAAGCTCGGTGAGCTGGGCGTCCATGTCGTCGAGGTACTCGTCGAAGTCTCCCGATTCGGGCCGGCCCGAGTTGCGGCCGGTCTGCCCCACCGGGAAGTACTCGGGGTGATGCCAGTCGAGGTGCGAATGGTAGAAGAACAGCTTTAGATCGTGCCGCCGGCAGGCCTCGGCGAGCTGCTTCAGCACGTCCTTCTTGTAGGGTGTGCGGTCCACGATATCCCAGTCGCTTACCTTCGAGTCCCACATCGCAAATCCGTCGTGGTGTTTCGACGTGATCGTGATGTACTGGGCGCCCGCGTCCTTGAAGAGCCGGCACCACTCATCGGCGTCGAACTCGGTCGGGTTGAACTGCTCGGCCAGCGGCTCGTAGTCGGCGAC